AGAGCCCTGTTCGAAGCCCTACCCTTACCACCAGCAATGGAGGATCAAGATTCTCAGTGTCCAAAGTATCAGAAAACCATTTGTTAGAGAGGAGAAAAAGCATTGGTTGACAAAGAGTCTGATCTACGAGACCTACAAAATTCAGCACTGCTTTAAATCATGATTTTTCAGATGAGGAGGACACTATGGCTGAGGTGACACAAGGAGGAGCATGTGAAGAACTCCGAAGACATTTCAAGACTAAAGAATGTTGCACTTTCTCTACCTAAATCAAGTTGCAAAAGCGTTCATTGGTTTCCGCAGTATTGAAAGACATTCAGGTATCACACAGGGTTGTGCAGCCAGTCTGTGACCAAGATAAGGATGTGAGGGTTGGCAGAGGAAACGAAACCGATTTCCTTCACAGACGTTGGAAAGTTTGGGTGTGTTACTGTGGTTTTAACCATGGGTTTTTCATTCTTTCTCTGGATTTGTCATCAAAATGACAGCTAGGAGAAATCCTGGGATATGTTTGGAATGGAATACTAGCGTATTGCTAACTGTGCCGTACAGACAGATTAAAGCACTATTTTTAAAGTAGTCTTCCTGGTTACAACTTTTCAAAAAGGTTTCCCAAACATTACCCCTGGGTTGGTCAGATAACCAGATTGTCCTGCCCCAAACTCACGCTATTGGTTGAGCCGTTATCGCTGTGTCGGGATGCCGAAACAGAGCAATGTTTTGATACCATCAGTGTTTTTCACCATCTTCAGTTTAATATTCAGTTGATATTGTGTGCATATGCGTCTATATCCATATGTAGCTGGAATAGAAGGTAATTTAACATATAAAATGACATGCATCACCTTAAGTTGTACATCCCTTTGAAAATAGATTGTGAAACAGTATGAAAATAATGCTGTAATGTTGGCACATGACCTCTTGTATCTATAAATGAGTGAGTTTTAATCCAGTTGTTATTATTATCATAATTTATGAGATAAAAATGGTTATTTTATCCAATTTGGTGCAAAAATGAGCAGATTTTGGCAGTTTGACCAAATGACTATTTAGAAAAGAGTTGGTGTTTCCAGTTTATTTCCATTCAAACTGGAAATGAATGGTTAAGTTGCAGAACACACTGCATTGTAGGACTCCGTGACCTACACAGTGTTGTTCTGAACATTTTGGCAAACGTCGTAGGTTGCAACATGCCAAGGAGTAATATTGTAGATTAAATTCTGAGCATATTTTCTGTCTTGAATGCAGTAACAGTTCTGTTGCTGTTCTTGGGTTCAACTTGCACTTGGGAAGCATTTTAAGCATTGTCCTGCTGAGGAAGCACCTACTCAGGCTTCCAGAAAATTGCCGCCTCTTGAAAGATTTGTGGAGGATGTGTTATGGGACGTAACTTGATTTTACCACCTGATTGATGGATTTTGCTTAAGAATTTTGCCCTTTGTTTGACTCTTTGATTATCATTTGTATTTATATTTTTTGTACTAGGTTTTGTTTTCAATGCCAATTTTGATAAAAAGTTTTTTGTTTTTTTTCACAGAATGTCTCTATCTGCTGTTGCCAAGCCACATCCGGTCTGTTGGCAGAAGTGATGAAATTAAACATGACTGAGCATGATGAACAACCAAGTTCTTCTTAGTGTAGTTAAGTCCTTCCAAACGGCATTAAGATATTTCTAAAAACACATACATTCTCCATAAAGTATGAAAGCATACATTTGAATGTCATTATTATCATTTTTTCCAAGCTACCATACTGACGCCCATAACATTAGTAATGATTGCATACATGTTTGTAAATTTAGATTTTATTAAATGTATAGTGTCCAAAGATTAAAAACGACCCTGAATCAGCATTAACATATGATGTAGCATTTGCTTACACAATATGAAAACAGATGACAAAATCATGAGTTAAATTACTCAAATTTGCATCAGTTACATTTAGACATCGGCTACTTGTAATTAGATGCATTTAGACAGTCTTCAGCAGCCCTACTGTTTGAATATTTTCATTTTAAATATTTTTGCAATATTGCTGGTGTGATATACTCCTTATATCCTTCCATAAAACAGAATTAGGTTTATGGTCTTGCGCTTTGGTCCGCTATTTATTCTGAATGTTTCTCTTGATGCTTTAGCTGTTACCATGCAGTGCATATTTGTATTTGCATATTTGCAAGTCAAGTACAAAAGCTAAACCTCAAGTAATTTGAATGCTTCTGCAACTGCCAATAATACAGTACAGTTGCAGTTATGCTTTGATGGGAATAAACAGTTGGTATAGATGGCAGTGCCAATGGCAGTAGTTCAGTTTTCTATTGTCGTCATAAGACGTCTTTTTCAGTCAGTCTCCTGCCTTCCCATCCCAACACTGCAAAAAACAGCAGGTCCACTACTGCTATCCTGTCTTTCTAAGAAGTCAACAGCACCTCCAACATGGAGGATTCCTCTACAGTACAAATTAAGATGCGGCCACATTTAACTTTAAAGGGATAGTTCACCAAAAAATGAAAATTCTGTCAGTAATTATGCACCCTCATGTCGTTCCAAACCTGTAAGGCCTTCATTCATCTTCGGAACACAAATTAAGATATTTCTGATGAAATCAAGGCCCATAAAAGTAGTAAGGACATTGTTAAAATAGTCCATGTGACATCAGTGGTTCAACCGCTATTTTACGAAGCTACAAGAATACTTTTTGTGTGCAAAGAAAATAAAAATAACGACTTTATTCAACAATTTCTTCTTTTCTGTGTCAGACTTCGACGCACGTTCACGACAGTACCACGACACATGTGTGATGCTGCTGATGCAGGAGCCCGCGTTGACTTCGAACGCGCATACGCTGCACCTTATTTACAAGCAGAGGAAGCTGTACGCTCTACATAAAACAGTCTTCGTATACATGTCTGAAGATTTCGATAGAGCATGACTTTACATTTTTTTGCCAAGCCTTATTTGAACCAGACTATACAGACGATGAACTGAGAGATGGATGTCTACATCAGAACGCTGCAGCACCACCACACGCATGTGCAGGCATGTCGAAGACTGACACAGAAGAGAAGAAACTATTATTGACAGTTTAAAAGTATTAAAACCATTTTTTTAAAGTAAAACCTTTCTGGGCCTTGAACGTGGTAGTTGCATTGCTGTTTATAGAGAGTCAGAAAGCTCTCGGATTTCACCACAATATCTTAATTTGTGTTCCGAAGATGAATGAAGGTCTTACAGATTTGGAACGACACGAGTAATTCATGACAGAATTTTCATTTTTGGGTGAACTATCACTTTAAGGAGGAATTCCACGGGGCATAATGCAGTCATCTCAGTAGTAATCGATGCAATTGGGAATTTCATTTGAATGACACGGTGTGAAAATTTCCCCATGCATATTTCATTCACATCAGAGTGAAGTTCTTGAAATTTTAACAGACAAATTTGCAGCAATGTTTTTTTGCATGTTTCGGAAGTAACTGCTGAGTAAGCGGTGCTTCATGCATCGCTACGCTATTGATGATAAAAAATTGACCGAATTTGCCCAAAAAATTTAGCAGAAGTTTTTTCAAACATGACCGCAATTTTGCACTCACTACTTTAGGAATAGTTCACTCAAAAATCACTCTTCTGTCATCATTTACTCACCCTCATGCCGTTCTAAACCGCCTATGACTTTCTTTCTTCCATGGAACACAAAACATGAATGCTTTTCAATATAAAGATAGTAAATAAGGACTGTCAAACTTCAAAAATGACAAGTTGCCCGTCTTTTGAAGCCATATGATAGATGATGTTTCATGAAAAAAGCAAGTAATATAGGCTCGGAGCAACTTGAAGGAGTCAATTAGGACAGAACTTTCAATTTAGTGTGAACAAATATT